AAAGGCATTCAATGAATTTTCTTATTGGTAGTTTTCCTTAAAAGAAAAAATGGTTTAAGGTTAGAAATGACCAATTCCAGAAGAAATGTATACCTTCAGAAAACTTGGTCCATCAAACTGAACTATGTAAAATACAAGCAATGTGGGTAAGCCCTAACTTTATTTCATTCTTTAAAACTTATCAGATAGGGTGTAAGTTGACTAATTTTCTAAATTCCAGTGTTTCATTCTTATTCCAGTATTAAGACTTATTTGACATTAAGAACAACATGGGGAGAGCTAATCTTTTTTAGGTAAAAAAGCCCGTCAAGTGTATTAAAGGCAGCCATACATAAAATGCTGAGGTGTACAATTAACAGCAGACCTATAAATGCTGCAAAGTATTAGTATACATCCTCAAGCTTTGAGACAAAGATGACAGATAGGTTTCAAGTCACATGTCAACTCCAACAAATTAAGTGGCTACCTCCATGACCCTAGGGGACAATTTGGGCAAAATAAATCATAAATGCCTGCCATAGGAATGAGAGTGTGGCAGCCTGTGTGCTAGTCTTGCCGTCGGCTTTTTGCCGGCAAAGACTCTGTACTGAAATAGTTCTATTATGGACAGGATATTTCATTATTGCTTTATCAGATATGCATCCTGATGTGAAATAACAAAATATGCAAAATCAAGGGAAAAGTTTTGAGAATTTTTTGGCCCAAGTCTAACAAAACAAACAATAACCCTACTAGTTTTCTATAAACATCTAATGGATAGCTTCAGTTAAAATAACTAGGGTTACATCTTTCAAATGCTCTTCTTAATCATCAGGAAAATTCAGTGTAATATACGTTATATCTATGTGTATATAATATACACATACTATTTTAGGAGAAAACATCAGTATTTCAGCTTGATAATTTAAATAATGTCAACTAAGCATGTTTATTTGTAAAACTTCCCATAGTGAAACATGTTACAGTTACCTATAAACATTCATTTTTCCCTATTTACAACTTGAATTATGGAATGGTTGTATAAGGCAACCAATTGAGTTATAGAAAAGTCACATAAACAATATAAATCTGATGCCCAATCCTTTACAAATATGAAATTACTTTCATTGAGTTTTCAAACTAGCAAGTATAAATAGAGGTCAGCAATACTTCAGATAGGCACTTTAACAATTATTCAAAAAGATGAAGTGTACAAAGGGTAGAACAAATTTCAATATTAATCTAATCCTTAACTTCAAATGTGATTAATCTGAGATAGTCTATATTAAGGAGTGTTATAAACTTTTATTTCTTGCCCTTCTGCCTCCACTTGACCCAAGGCAACATAAAAATGAAATACATAGATATAGACATTACCACAGACCAGTTAACGTGCTTACATTAGAAGGAACTAAACAGTATCTAATGGCCCTGGGGTTTCAGAAAGTGACTATTTTAACACAAAAACTGATACATACTTCTTTTCAGAAACATGTATAAACACATTGGTCTCACAAAGACAAAATGGTACCTCTACCATATTCCTAGACAAAAATGTCTTTAAATGTACTATTTAATTAACTGAATTAAAACTATTAGTGTGGATCAGTGGTTGAGCATCAGCCCATGCACTGAGAGGTGGCTGGTTCGGTTCTCAGTCATGGCACATGCCTTGCAGGCTCAATCCCCAGTATGGGGTGCGGGGGACAACTGATCAATCTCTCTCTCAGCATCGATGTTTTTCTTTCTCCCTCTCCCTTCCTCTCTGAAATCACTAAAAACATAAAAATTTTTAAAAAACTATTAGTCTTAGGTACTCTTTTCAAAAACTGAATTTTTTAAGTATTTAGAGAAATTAAAATACTATTTTAATTTTAAAAATTGAAAAATTATATTTACCAATACTTTATAGTTTTAAGGTTTAAATAATAAGGAACAGATGTTTTGTTTTGCCAGCCTTTTGTGACAGACCTTTTAAACATATACCTTTGGCCAACTCATTTTCAACCTTAAACCAAGTCTTCTGAATATTTACACTGTATCTTTTGGTAGTTAAAATAATACTTGACTAAAAGATAAAATTCACATTGCTTCATGAATTCTGAGTTCTGTATTTTCTCTACTGCCAAATTACAACATACCTCTATTAGTAAAGGAAATGGCTAACTCAAATTTTTAAAGTTTACCCAGGAAGGGTTAAAATATGAGGTTTCATTAACTAAAAATTTTAGGTTAAATTCATTAAATTTGTTTTATTTCTGGTATTTTATAATTTGAGTAATTTCTATAGCCCAGGTACCCAAATGTAGTTTAATAAACATGAGTTTTTACTCATTAGAACATGGTTAGCTGTTTCAAGTGCATTTATCAAAATCACCTGCTGTGTATGTCTGTATATGAGGGCACATGTATTTCTTAATTCCCCAAAAACAGTTGTGCTCCTTTAAAAGGAGAAACTGGCTTTAGTTCAATATGCTACCTGACACTTAAGTCTCTTCTAAAATCCAAAGTCAGCCAATTTTCAAATAAGTGGAAAGTGAAAATACTTATTTAGAATGACAAAAATTAAGCTTGGCAAAAGTAGTGACTTTTATTTACAATTGCATGTATCAAGATTACAATAGAAACACTAGTGATATCATCGGAACAAAAGCAATGATTTATTGGTAATGGCAATGAATGGAATAGTGACAGTCTGGCGAGAATCAAGCAGTCATCCAGGAGCTGTAGGTCTGATTCCAATGTGGTCTTCCCGTGTCTTTTGTATCTTAGTGACTTTCTCCTTTTTTGCCAACTACCTAGAAAAATAAAAATATTTTTATATGTACATTTTATTTAGAAATGTGGGTTATTTTCAAAATAATATTTAAAAACAATATTAATTGATAATCATATCTAAAACCTGGTATTAATTTTTATCCCTGAATTTTGTTTGGCATGCAGCATATTTCCATTGTTGAAACACACTGTGACCCTCCTTCCCTTCCAGCCTCAAGGAATTAAAAATAAACCACATGCAGGCTATTTTTGGTTTCCAACACCGTTTTAAGAAAAAGTAATGCAATTTTTCAAAACAAGGTTGACAGTTTAGAGAAGTTAATAAATAAAAAATGCTATATGAGTGAAACATATTTGGCATACTATTTTTAGACAATTAGAAATCAAACACAAATAATCTAAAATTTAAAGAGTATGCTAAACTGGTCTTCATGTCCAAAATGACAGATTTCTACACATTTCTCTCAATATGTAGACATATAATAAAACACTAAAAATGACTAATTTTGTCTAGTTCTATTTTTTCAAAAACCCTGGTGGCTATAAATGTACTATTAAAAAATGTAAAGAATATCTTGGTTGGTCTGGCTTAGTGGTTGATCGTCAACGTATGACTCAGAAGGTCGAGTATTGATTCCCGATCAGGGCATATGCCCGAGTTGCTGGCTTGATCCCCAGTAGGGGATGTGCAGGAGGCAACTGATCAATGATTCTCTCTCATCATTGATGTCTCTGTCTCTGTCTCTGTCTCTCTCCCCCCGGCTCTGAAATCAATAAAACATATATTTTTAAATGTACGGAATAAATCTTGTTTCTATCAATGATTAGAAAAATTGTCTATTAGGGAGGTGTTTAAATGTTCTAGTTGCTATAAATGTGGCAGCATAAAAATACAAAGAATAAACTTGCTTCCTATCAACAGTTCTTTTTCTTTGTGTGTTTCTTTTTCTTCTTCTTATACTACCAACAGTTCTACAAAACAAATTCTCTGTGGGGAAGTTCTGAAACTATGTTCTAATTGAATGATATATTTCAAACCTAAAGTTTATCATTAAATAATGTAGTCTCATAGAAATACCTCTAAAGAAATCTACTTGCAAGCTATTAAATATGTATTTTTATACAAAAATATTTCTATATACATTTGTAAAAGTAAATTTCATATTTAAATTGACTCTCTTCCAAATGGTAGCATCTGAATCAAGGAAAACTCAAAAAGTTCTTCAGTACATGTCTGCTCTAAAAATAAAACATGGCTGGGTCAATGTCTTTCATGAGAGAAGACTATAAAACCCCTTCCACTGAATATCTAATCACTTAATGCTAAACTGCTATTTTCCCCACTTCAAATAAAATCACTTTTATCACTTGAAAGGAATTCCTCTCTGATCCAAGGAAACAATGTGACAGCAAGTCCAAAAAGCCAGACAGATGCTAAAGAGATAGTTTCAGAAAAGAATATGTAGATGGGAATAAGGAATTCAGGTTTAAGACCCAAGAGGAAACTTCTTAAAAAAGGAGATGGAACTATTTGTATCACAAATGAATACAAGCAGATAGACACTGAAAGCATTATTGATCACTGTTATCACTTGGGAACAAACAAAACACAGAGCTATTAAATTAAGCAAAAAAAAAAAACAACCCCAAAAAACAAAAAGAACTAATATTAAAAATTAACATTTTAGCAGATGTGATACAGAAGACACAAATCTGCATACTGTTTCACAGGTTGATAGCTCTCAACTTGCCAATGTGTATTCTCTGCAAAAAAAGAGAAACGCAACATTCCAATATGGATTTTCTTACCCAAACATAAAGTTCTTTTATTTCTTTTTAAGTCTTTATGTTAACACCTCACAGAAACAAAAGTCTAGGTACATTAAAATTAGGTATCCATAGTATTTATTCAGTAAAGAGTCCACTTTTCTTCCATATTAATATTTTAAACCAGCCTAATATTCAGTCCATAAGTCTTTCGACTGGCCTTGAGTTTGCTTGGGCAGGCAAAGCATAGGATACACCCACAATTAATAAGCAAAATGACTTCTGGGCCACAGTTTCAATGAGATAAAAAAGAAGAAAACCACATCTCTTAACTACAGCCTAGTCAATATATTACACTAGTACTTGTATAAAAGAACTTGATGAAACTGTTTATATTTGGTTTCCAAAATGATTTTATAGTTCCTAAAAAATCAAATTTAAACTTGATTGGATTAAAAACATTATCCAACAACTAGTTAAATTTGAAACTACAACAATGTATATTTTATTGCAATATTATTTCGCAAAGATAGTACAGAATTAAATATGAGACAGGAGAATGTAAAACAACAACAAAAATTCGGGGGAACAACATAATATGGTAATAAAATAAAAGCACCTAGTTGCAAGCCCAAAACAAAAACCAAAACAAAATGAAAAGTCAGTGGGGAAACATGACTAGAATGAGATTTGAGGAACGAGATAGCTGAGGAAATTTAGGTAACAGTAAGGCTGATCCAGATGACAGAAGCTGTAGACATCCTGCACCAACAATGATGAGAACACGGGAAGGGTGAGAGCAGACAGGTGCAAGATGAGCAGAGAAGCAAGAAGGGGAGTGGAGTGAGATAAGGTCAATCTTTATATTACTTCATTTTAAAAAAATCTTCTGGTTTTAGTTCATTTGAGTTGGATTAAAAAAGCTGAAAAATAAACAGACAGAAAAGTTACAAAAATAGCTGATACGGTGAATGGCCAGTTTAGAAAAGTCTATTTTTATAACAGGGATAGAAAACCTGCTCTGCTTTTTGCATGCACCTCATTCCCTAAGAAGCACAAGCCCCTTCAATTTTGCTCATTTCTGTACTTAAGTCTTATTACTTTTGTATTAAAATAAAGCAATCATTGTAAAGAGCATTGTTTTAGCAAAGAAAACATCTACTTCCAATTAGGATGGCAAGCTTTTCATGCTGCAACACACAGAATCCATTTACAACAGCAAACGGCATAAGTGTGTATTATAATCTGGTGCACAATGCCTATAAGAGCCAAAAACAGATAAATGGAAGGTGTGTTCAAGTCTACCAAATCTTAAAGGTACAACCTCATGAAGTTGTAACAGCATGCAAGGTGGTGTAAGATTTCTACTCACATCTAAGGTTCATTAGCGTGACCTTAGCTTCTGTCATCTTAGTGACTGACCAAAGGGAGAAGTTCAATGACATTCTGAAAACTAAAATTATCTAGGAACAACTCATACAACATAAAAATGTAAACCGAAAATGCTAAATAATTTCATTTTATCAAGCATTAAACCATTTCATATCATTCTTTCCTACACAGAGGTATCAAAATTTTCTTCTCTGTGATGAAAAATGTGTACCACATCTATTTTGAAATTTTAAATTCTAATTATTATGCATAATCCCTTTAAAATCCAGACTGACTTAAAAAAGGGAATGAAGGGCCATACGTGACTGGTCCTAGAATGAATCTGCTCCTTCCCACTTTGATGCCAAATTCCTATTTTTCATTCTACCTAGAGTGCCACTGCTGTTTTCTCCTCCATCCATTTCTACTACTAAAGTTTAATTCAAGGCCCTCTTCCTTCACAAAATACTCTCATCCTCTTCCAGCAATCATTGTTAAGTATAAGGATACTCCGTGGAGGAAGAGAGCCTTGAGCTAAGCTTTGAGACACCTGACTGACTTTCCAGATGTTATGTATTATCTAGGTACAGGGATGACTGTACCTAGCACAGTACTACAAAAACAACAAATACCATACCACATGTCAATTAGCTCCCTCACTAGGAACCAAAATCATTTTTAATAGGCAACTCTATACAACGACCAAACTGGCCGATTTCAGTTAGTACACAGACATTAATTCTATTATAATTTCACTACACTGAAGTTGTTGACTTACCATAATATATTTTTAAAAAAATAAAATTAGCTTACTTTTGAGAAATAACCCTATACAATAACTATACAAACAAATCTCACTCAGAAATTATTAAAAGAAAACATAATGTAATATTAATATAATAAGAAAATCATTCAACCAATTAAAATGTATTAAACATTAAAGGCCAGGGAGAAAGAAGTCCAGAACACCAAGAAGGAAGTCCATTCGTTATAGTAATAAATGATTCTCACAGCAGTTCTCAGAGTGGTCCAGGCTGGAGGTTCCTGAGACCCTCTTAGGGAGTCTTCAAATTAAAAACTATTCTCATTGCTACATTGTTATCTGCATTTTTAACTCTCATTGTTTCGCAAGTGTACACAAATGGAGTTCCCGAGAGGATATATAAACTGTGATAGCAAAAGTGAGTGAATGCAGAAACAGATGAGAGAATTCTACCAAGCTTAACAGTAAAAAATTTTATAAAAGTGAAAACAATACACTTCCTCTCACTAAGCTGGTTTTTGTTTTGGAAAATATACTTTGATTTTAAAATATTATTTTTGCTAATGTACAATGTATTTGTAAATAAATATTTTTTAAATTTCTCAGTTTTAATTTTTTAAATGGTAACCATTAGATAAGTATAGCACACAGAAGCAAAAAGTCTTATTGGTCCTCAAGAATATTTAATAGCGTAAAAGCATCCTTGAGTCCAAAAAGTTTGAGAACTACTTCTCAATAATAATTTTAAATAAGGTAAAAAGGTATTTAGTTAAATGAACACATAGCCAAATTATAAAACAAACACAAATACTCTCAAGAATAGTCTACCACCTTTGTTATCACAAAAGGTAGTCTGGTAGTCAAAAACAGAAAAACTAGTCTAAAAGAGACGGGATGGGGGATGTTAAAAACAAAGAGGTAGAGACAGATTATTAGGTGGACAATTGATAATGCACATTAGAAAAACTAATGAATGGCAGGCTAATAAGAAGATAGACAATATTAAAGTAGTGGTTACTGAGAGTAAAAACGAACTCCAATAGCATAAGCTAAGGTGAGAAGCAGGAAATATATGGCTGAATTAATAGTAAGGGAAAATAAGAAAACAGAGTAATAGATCTTATGAAAATATTAAGCTAAAAACAAACTACGTAAGAAACAGTTAAAGCTAAATCCAATGGCATTTAATTCAAACAGGCAAAGTAATAAAGCAGGCAGCCAAAATGTCTTTGATGCTCACACATTTTTCCCAATACAGTACATTTCATATCATAAATATGTAGATGTTTAATCTCTGCTTCTTCTGACCTGCCATTATACATGTCAAACATTTAATATGACCGATCTAAGTACATGACTGTTCATACAGCTCCCAAAAATTAATCATACTGTGAGACAGGAAGATTATACTTGTAAAATGACCGGTTAAACTATCTATTGTCAAAGTTATAAATTTTGTAAAAACAGCTAAAATTTTATAACTTTTTAAGGGCATCCAATGTTATATAATTTTTTAAAATTTTCTGTAACTGAATTGAAATTAGATCTGTGGATACCATTAAACGAATGAATGAATGAATGAATGAATGAATGCTTTCGGGATGTTCTATAGCTCCAATGCCCTCCCAAACAGGGGTCAAACTGTTAGGCTGGGTGCCTCTTCCTCTAAGCATTGGCCACCCTAGAAAAACTCTTCCTCTTTTATAATCATCTCAAGTTCTAGACTGCCTGCCAGATGCAGCTACCAGGAATACAACGATAACTACATCTCCTATGCTGCTGCACCTTTAATCTGTGCACAGCACCTGTTTTCTGTACTGATAAAACTCTTGGTGGCAATTCTTTAACACTGTATTTTTACTTCCCCTAAATATAATTTCAACAAACTTACTCGTTTGAAGTCATTCATATTTGTTGCCTGGACTGGAGTACCAATGAAAGTAAAATATGAAATTCTTGTTGTTTCTTCTTCACCTTGATTGGACTGAACAAATATCTACCAAAAAATAATAATAATAATAATTTTTACAGTAATGATTGCAATCCTTTCATAAAAATGCCTCAGTTTCATCAATTTCCTTAGGTTACTAACAAATTTACCTTCCACTCCTTGTAAGGATTAATCCAAATTACATTGAGACTAGTACTCCTACAGGACCATTAATTCCACTCTTTGCCCTGCTATTCTCATATATTCCAGGAATGACATGGCAAGACACCCACATATACAAGTTCTTGATAATTTAGTGTGATGGTATGGAGGGGTCAAAATTAAAGCCTTTCATAATGAATGCTGAAAGACTATGAAATTCACAATTACAACAGGCAGAGTGCTGTTGAAATTTTATAAAAAATTATAGTAGTTCACTGAGGAGTATTTCTGCAGTTATAGTCTTTCTGATATTCATTCATTCAATTTTCTAGACTACTAAAAGAAAAAAACTGTATTGGAAATCATCAGTCAGTTTTTGTTGTTTGAATAGGCAACCACATTTTCATCTCAAACTGAGCTGATCAATGAAAAACCCCAAGTCTATAATTAGTAGACTATTAAATCAGCTCTCCATTTATTTGTAATGCTCTATGAATCTAAGCACAAATGTTTTTATATTTACTGCTTTTAAAATTCATCCACTGACTTTGATAAGACTTTCTGATCAAAAATGTCATTTCAATTTCAATTTTATCAAAAAAAGTGACAGACATGCTTTCTGTGTCTTAACTGAAATTCTGACTGAGATGGGACACAGTACATAAGGACTTGAGCCCATCACGAGATAACTGCGTTCATGATTCTAATGACAGAGGAGAAAGCATCGGGATCTCTGCATTGAAAGGGCTTTCCCAATAAACAGCTGTCTTCCTCTCATCACTAATAAAGCAAAAGGTGATATCATGAACACATGCTATAGCATTCTTCTAACTTACCAAAACCAGAATCGTTCCACTAAAACAAAGAAATCACATTAGTTTGTCATAACCTGTTCTCAGTAACTGTGCTGATTCCCAATTCTCTTTCTAAGTGATCTATTCTACTCTAACCCTCTGTCCCCTCCTCTGAAGGACAGAGCTAGGGTGGAGAGCATGTGGTGGGTTTTAATACCCAAATTCACAAAGGAGTTAATAACTGCTAACAAACAGCATACTTTTTTCAATACAAATTAAGATAAAATTATATTTTTAAGTCATTTTTGCTGAGATCATGATCACTACGTTATTAAAAACTCAGTATTCTAGAAAAGTACACTGAATTTTACAAATGCATCATTCATTACCAGGTATGAATAATAAAGCACAAATATACTCAGTTAAATATAAATGTTATATAATAAACTTTTAATAACAGTTGCCAAATACGCATCAGATAAGTAAACTGACAATCCACAAAATTTAAAAATATCAACCTGTCCTTCCCTTAGGACAGTGGTCGGCAAACTGCGGCTCACGAGCCACATTGGGCTCTTTGGACCCTTGAGTGTGGTTCTTCCACAAAATACCACGTGTGGGCGCACACATACAGTGTGATTGAAACTTCGTGGCCCATGCGCAGAAGTCGGTATTTTGTGGAAGAGCCACACTCAAGGGGCCAAAGAGCTGCATGTGGCACGCGAGCCACAGTTTGCCGACCACTGCCTTAGGACACATAGATAAATTAAGAAGAAAATTTAAGCCCTGGCCGGTTTGGCTCAGTGGATACGTCGGCCTGCAGACTGAAAGGTCCCAGGTTCGATTCCGATCAAGGGCACATGCCCAGGTTGTGGGCTCAATCCCCAGTGGGGGGGCGTGCAGGAGGCAGCCAGTCAACGATTCTCTCACATCATTGATATTTCTCTCTCTCTCTCTCTCTCCCTCTCCCTTCCTCTCTGAAATCAATAAAAATATATTATTTTAAAAAGAAAATTTAATTAGATCATATATTTTTACTCATTTCAAACCAAGTAGACAAATAACTACTTAAAAGGATAATATCTTAATGAAATACTACTTACAGTTACACTGTTAACATTCTGAAACTTAACATAGCGAAGTGGAACAATGCCATCTTCTTTAATATCATCCTCTGTTAGTTCCAGAGCTTGAGTTGGTTCACTTCTTTCTGCTTCTTCAAAATCCATAGATCGGGGCAGATTGATAAAAATTTTTACGTATTTAGGACCTTGACCTATAAAATGGTAGAACAAAATGCTACAAATCAAACATATATTTTCTTCCCTTTATTATTTCATTCATACTATAAAGACACACAAACACACATATGCAAATATCTACATACATCTTTAGGAATTCTAAGAAAGTCAGAGTATTTTCACAGCCACTTCTTGGCCTGCTAGCACTATACTCCAGGAATTCTAGATCAAAATACTTACATATATATGTACCCACATACACACAGTTCTTGCCCTCCACTAAAAGATGTACTATGTAAATGTAATACTACTAGTGAGGAGGTAAAGGGAAAGTAGCAATGGAGTCCGACAGTATATGCAGGTTAACAAGTTTCATAAAAGAAACAACATTTGATCAGGGTCTTAGTTGCCAACAACTGGTACATTTTGTTAAGAGGGAAGCTTTAGTGATAATGATTAGTCAAAAGGAGGTTAATTATATAAATTGCCAAATTTCATCTTGGGAATTAGGATGTGCTCAGTGGTAAAATCACATTCATAGAGTGTCTTAGCCCCTTTAACTTCAAGGTACAATTTAAACCCATATTTTCTAGCTGATTAAAGAATCTTAAAATATTCACATTGCTTAAATACTCATTTCTACACCATTGGTTTTTACAAATACTTTGGATTTTCAGAATAAAGACACAGTTGAATTAATAAAAATTAAATACATAAAATTTTAGAATAATCGATGAGAAGGAAATACTATGTGATACACAGGGTACTGGCTGTTTCTTCTAAGTAATTAAAAAACAAAACAAAACCAAGAAATCTACTCTCTCCTCCCTCCCGCCACTCCAGCCCACCCCAACAACAAAACTTCCACAGACACAGGAAAAGGAGGAAAGGAGGGTGGGAAGAGTGAATAAGGAAAGTTCTTAATTTAATACAAACAGAAATGCCTAGTCTGTGCAATCATGTTTACAGCATCATATCTATAAATAATATGAATCTATTAATATGGCACAAATAAGACAATCTTGAACCTTAGTTTTATCATCTGTAATAGGAGTTTGAAAGAAATAAAGATTATACCCAGTTTTGATCCTTAACAATAACTATTTCAAACCTAGTTTTAGCCCTAGCAAGTTTGGCTCAGTGGATAGAGCATCGGCCTGCAGACTGAAAGGTCCCAGGCTCGATTCCCGCCAAGGGCATGCACCTTGGTTGCAGGCCCATCCCCGGTGGGGGGTGTGCAGGAGGCAGCTGATCCATGTTTCTCTCTCATTGATATTTCTGACTCTCTGTCCCTCTCCTTTCCTCTCTGTGAAAAATCAATAAAGTATATTTAAAAAAAAAAACAACCTAGAGTTTTAGAGTCATAGTTGGAAGAAAGGGTTCACTTGCTTTCAGATTAAGAGGAAACTAAAATTGTAAAATTAAAAATTTTAGAAATAAATCTCACATTGTTTGCCCATTCATTTATATCCTTGCTTTGTTCCAAAAACAATTTCACTCTTTCTTCAAAGAAGGAATATCTACCTTTATCAAAAAAATAGAGGCAGACCTTCTGACAAGTCTACAGATCAGAAAGTTAGTTTAGAGAAAAATTGTCCATTACTTACCATTATCTGGCCCTTGAAATTTCATTGAATAAAGCTTCACAGGTTGATTAAATGCCACAGTAATAAGCAGCTGTGAAGGAAATAATTGTTTAACTTTAAAAGGGCTCTTGAACACCTTGAGCACACACAACAGCTAAGTGGAATTAATTCAGAGACAAAAAAATTTTAATTTATCTAATAAAACTAATGTAATATGTAAAATCAGTAAGTTGAAAGTAAGTTGATTAGACTGACATCTGAAAAATACAATTATCTATTATTCATATAAGAGAATGACAACAAAAAGTTTAATGGAATAATTTACTATAATTATGTATAACATAAGGTCTTGTGACTTATAAACTGGCAAACCATCTGCTTTCTAAAAACTCAAAACAAAATTCCCCAATTAAATTAAAATTTATACTATGTATGCTAACATATAAGCTTACTGTTTTCCAGGATGGTTTATTTGTCAAGCACTTACTTGATAATTTGGAGACAATGCACAGGTTATGTGGAAAGACTAACCCTCAAATGGGCCCTACTTGATCTAAAGCTCCAGACAAGAGGATTTCTATAGCTCTACAGTCGTCTCCAAACCTCCATCCTTAACGTATTTGACTAACTTAATCTGGAAGGCCACATAAGAAAACCGAGGAGAGAAACCAAGATGGCAGCATAGGTAAACACTGGAGATTGCTGCCTCACACAACCACTTCAAAAATACAACTAAAAGACATAACGGACATCATCGAGAACCACGGGAAGGCTGGCTGAGTGGAATTTCAACAACTAGAAGGAAAGAGAAAAGCATACCGAGACTCAGAGGAGGTGTGGTGCTGAAGTAAATACAAAGGTGCGGAGATGCATGCGGAGCGGGCTGGCGGCTGAGGACACAATTGTCTTTTTCAATTGGGAGGGAGTCTCAGGCTCTGAGCTCCAGTTCCGGGTGAGTCTTTGGGGACCCAGGCTCATACAGGAGAAACGGGACTGTCTGGCATCGGTTCGGAACTCGAAGGCAGCTTTCTCTCAAAGGCACTCGCAGCAATAGCCAGGACCTCTGAACTGAGAGCAGCCATACTGCTGGCATGCTCGGCCAGCCCTGTTGATCCCCTAGGACCCCGCCCTGCCCAAGCCTAGCAAGGAGGCTTTTGCATGTGAAAGGCCCAGCCCTTTGAAATCTGAAAATAACTTAACAAACTGCAGCTGCTCCAAGGCTCCAGGGCAACTTGCATTGCTTTACAGCTGGCTTCTGCTGGATAGCTGCAGTCAGAGGCTAGATTAGCACTTCCTTAGATCCAAGGGCCAGTGTACCCAGTGGTCAGAGTGGGACTTTCCAATTACAACTCAGATCCATAAGGGACACACTCAGGGGGCACACTCAGTGAGCACCAAAGCCCCACTGAAGCAAGTCTTGCCCCATAAGGGTGTCTTCAGCACAGAAGTTCTCCCACTGTAGACACAGCTGATTCTCACAGCCAACTGGCCTGGAGATCAAATCCTCCCAGTTTTACCTACAACAATCAAGGCTTAACTACAACAAGACTGTGCACAAAACCCACAAGGGGGTGCACCAAGAGAGTCTACCTCAGGTAATTGGGACACTTAGCACAGAAAGCCACTCTATCAACACAGTGAAGCATAAAAAACACAAGACAAAGAAATAGGACACAAATGACAGAAATGGAGGAAAGCAAACTATTGGATATAGAGTTCAAAACCACACTTTTTAGGTTTTTCAAGAATTTTCTAGAAACCGCCGATACACTTAATGAAACCCTCAAGAACTCTAGTGAGACCCTCGAGGTTGTGATAAAGGACCAACTAGAACT